AGAGGCATCGAAGTCTGTTCGCATGCCGCATATCGTAACTAGTATACAGTATACCGTACATGGTATAGACTATATAGCATATAGTACATCGTATGTCGTATATAGTATCTCAAACATAGTCTCTCGTATGTAGTACAGAGTGTAGAGCATGTAGAATATAGTATAGAGTATATAGGATACAGTAGGTGGTATATGGTACTTAGGATATACGACCTAGTATATGGTGTATAGTATATGGTCCTGGTGTCTAGCATAGAGTATATACTATACAGCAAGGTGCAGTATTGCACAGAATAGTATAGCCTAGTGTAGTACACTATAGAGCGGCATGGTACAGCATCGCACGGTATTTGTATAGTTGAGTAGCCCTAAACCCTAAACCCTAAAACCTAAACCCTAGACCCTAAGCAGGAGTGGGAGCAGGAGCAGGCGAGAGTAAAGCAGAGACAGAGTTGAGCCCAGGAGAGGAGAGCAGAGGAGAGCTTAGGGTTTAGGGGTAGAGTGGAGTATCATCTTAGGGGCTGAGTACCCTAGCCCAAAACATGTTAACCTTTTGAAGTATAGTAGGATTATATAGGCCCCAAAAGGTTAAAGGTTACTTACTCAGCCCTAAGTTATTGAGGGCACAGGCTTCCCCAGCATTTTCTGAGTCGAGGCGAGGGAAAACGTTTGCTGTCTACAAGTTACTACAAGTACTTACCGCGGATTCTGTGCAGGGTTTTGCCAGATTCGAAGGCCCATAGTTTCATGGATCTGCACACCACATAGATCTCCAGCAATGATGCTCGCTGTCTGGGACTGCATGAGCGATGGCAGCAATGCTCCGACTAATGTTTCCCCACCCGAAGCCCCAAACCCTAAACGCAATTCAACGTCCCAGCATGCCTCGTCCGCGAGTAGTTCCAGCACTCGCCATCAAACGCCTTGCGCAGCCAAATCATGTTTGGCTCTCGAACAAGGGTGTAGGGTTTACGATTCAGAACAGCATTTGTGCCAGTTTTTTACCAGGACTATACTATACATTACTATGCTATGCTATACTATAACTATAACTATAACGATACTCTACTTCTCTCTAGACGATACCATATTTTGCTATACTAAAAATTCCCTTGGGCCTCCTTCAGCAGATGCACCAGGCGACGATGCAGCTCTTGCATTGGGTGATACCAGCTCCAGACCTATGCTGCAACAAGGGTTTAGGGTTTAGGGTTTAGGGTTTAGGGCTTAGGGTTTAGGGTTTAGGGCTTAGGGTTTGGGGTTTAGGGTTTAGGGTTCAGGTTTAGGGTTTAGGGTAAACCCTAAAGGCCTTAAGCCCGAGACGCTTTGGAACTTAACCCTAAGGGTCCAAGTACCCAAATAGGAAGGCTCCAGATCCCAAATACTATGCCCTGAATGGTCTTTGATACCTATAGCCATCCCCGGACATGGGGATGGCACGAAGGTGTGCACGCATCCTTTCCGATGATGACATGAAAGAAAGGCCATCCCAGTCGTACCTCTTCTGTCGCCCTGAACTCCCAAGCCATCTGGGCAGTTGATGCTTGATAAGGTTTAGGGTTTAGGGTTTAGGATTTAGGGTTTAGGGGATAAACATCTGCAGGCTGCACCGGTGACAGCTGGACGAATTCTGCTTTCAAAAGCAATCAGAATCTCAGAACCCGAACGCCCAGAGTGCTAAAGCGAGTAGTACTTGGAGAATGACGGCGAAAGCAAGACACTTTACCACGAAGCCCCAAAACGCCGAACTGCATGAGCCGGCAACCCCTACTTGGAGGTTCATGGGTAGTTACAAGTGGAGTTATAAGTCCCCTAATATGGGCTATAACTACAGTTACCCCACTTATAAGCCCACTTATAACTACCCATGAACCCTAAACCCTAAACCCTAAACCCTAAACCCTAAACCCTATAACTACCCATGAACCTCCAAGTAACCCTACACGCTCGACCTCAAAACCCTCAACTCTCGAGATCGCGAAAGTGTAGGCCTTCAGCAACTTGGGCTTCAGGGGTAGGGTTTAGGGTTTA